TCCCTGTGTGTTTGTGTGGTGGCACAGGAGTGACCATGGTGGCTTCAGTGACTTGCAGCCTGAGGTAATGGTGGAAGAACAAGAGATGTACCTCCTGGTTACCACCACTAGTGCCTTGACAGTATACCTGCGGGCATCACTTTGCCAGGGATGGGAGGAGAGCAGAAATCAGAACAGGGGACTCAGTCAGCTTCTGGGGTCTAAAGGATCTGCATTTGTGTTGTCCAGATGATGGCAGAGAAGTGTAGGTACAAAAATACAGATAAAATGACATGAAACAAAAATTAGGCTTTTTTTTTTTTAGAAATATCAAATCACTGTGTTGTGCATCAAGAGCTAACATAGTGTTGTAGGTTAATTAGACTTCAACAAACAAACTCATAGAAAGAGAGATCAGATATGCGGTTACCAGTGGTGAGGGGTGGGGGTTGGGAGGAGGGGGAATTGGATGAAGGTGGTCAAAAGGTATAAACTTTTAGTTATAAGATAAATAAGTATTAGGAATATAACGTCCAGCATTATTAATATAATTAACACTGCTGTATGTTATTTATGAAAGTCGAGAGAGTAAATCCTGAGTTCTCATTACAAGGAAAAATACGTAGTTTTTCTACTTCTTTTGTATCTATATGAGATGATGGATGTTCACTAAACTTGTTGTGGTCATCATTTCATGATGTATAGAAGTCCAAGCATTATACTGTACACCTTAAACTTATACAGTGCAGTATGTCAATTATAGCTCAATAAAACTGGAAAGAAAAGTAACTGATTATTAAGGCTTCCTGCCTTATTTATAGGTTTTATCTTGGCATAATGTATCTTAAGACTTTTTCCTGCTTTAATATGAAAAAAACTTATGAAGGTAAAACATAATTTAGATCTGCATATAGGTCTTATTTACTAAGGGCCCATGAAAAAAATCTTGGAGAAGAGAATAGTTCATTTATTATATTTATTGTATCTATATCTCTTTCTCTCTCTCTCTATCTATATAATATCTCCCCCCTTGTAGATAGAATGTAAGTTCCAAGAGGGCAGAATGCATCTCAAATGTCCAGAACGTCTTACATATAAAAAGCATTCAATGAGTATTTTGAATAAATGAATAAATGAATAATTCATGAATTTTCTAACACTCAATCGTTATGAATACATTTGGTTTTTAGTAATGATAGTATATATACACATATTTAAGAAATTTCATTCCGTACTTACCATTTTAACTTAGGATCTGTTTCTCTAGATTATATTTTTTCAATTAAATATTCATTGCTAATGACATTTTCATTAGTTCCGATAGAAATATGGTCACACATCCTAAAGAGAAGCAATATGGCATTTTTACCCATGTGGAAGGAGCAACTATCCTGAACTAAGCCTAACATATTTTTTGTGATATAAAAACAACAAAAATTTATTTTCTAGTGTTCCTACTACATTCCAGCTCTGACCTGAACTTGAGGCTAGTGCCAGCTAGTCTTCTTTTTTTTTTTCAGTGGTTGCACCATTTCATTTAAAAAAATTTTTTTAACACTTTTATTGTCGTATGATTCCTGTAC